GGGGAGGGACTCCGTTCGTAGGCGTGGGGGAGGGGAGGGGGTGCTTCTGCCGCCTCTTGTTTAGCTCCTCTGTGAGACTTCCCATGGGTTGCCCAGGCTTGGTATTAGAGGGGTGCAGTACCTGTCCCCACGCTGGATTAGGAGCTGGTACCCAGCAGAAGTAAAGGGCTGGTAGGATGGTCTCTGACTAGGGTACCCATAGAGCAATTCTCTGCCTAATGGCCTCCTGAAGAGAGGGATGGCCTTGCCTTGGTTATAGGAGCTTGCCCTTCAGGGCATGCCTTCTGTGGAAAATCCTGCAAAAAATGTAAGTACATTCTGACCATTACTTTCTCTGGCATACCCGCTATGGGCCAGCACACTGCATTTTAAAAATGTTTGATAATAAATACTGGAGAGGGTGTGGGGAAAAGGAATCTCTGCTACACTGCTGGTGGGGACGTAGTCTGGTGCAGCCACTATGGAGAGCAGTGCGAAGATTTCCTCAGGAAACTGAAAACAGACTTACCCTCTGATCCGTCAATCCCACTCCTGGGCATATACCTGGAAGGAAGAAGGAACTCTAATTTGAAGAGATACATGCACCCCAATGTTCATAGCAGCACTATTTACAATAGTCAAGATAGGGAAGCAACCTAAATGTCCACTGACAGATGACTTGAAAAAGAAGTTGTGTTGTGTGTGTGTTTATGTGTGTGTGTGTGTGTGTGTGTGTATATACATATATATATATACACATATATCTACAATGGAATATTACTCAGCCATAAAAAGAATAAAATAATGCCATTTGCAGCAACATGGATGGACGTGGAGATTATCATATTAAGTGAAGTAAGTCAGACAGAGAAAGACACATATCACATGGTATCACTTAAATTTGGAATCTGAAAAACAATACAAACTAACTTATTTACAAAATAGAGACACACTCACAGACATAGAATACAAACTTATGGTTACCAGGAGGAGAAGGGGCTCTGGAGGGATAAATTGGGAGTTTGGGATTTTCAGATAGTAACTACTATACATAAAATCCTAATAAGGTCCTACTGTCTAACACAGGGAACTACATTTAATACCTTGTAATGGCCAATAATGAAAAAAATATGAAAAGAAATATATTTATATGCTGTACACCAGAAATTAACACAACACTGTAAATTGACTATAATTCAATTTAAAAAATGTAAAAAATAAAAAATAAAGATGTTTGATTACATAAGTCTTTTTTGACACTGTCCTCCTGAAACAGGCAAAACCATTACAGGTGTAGCTAACAAACCCCTTGTCCCCCACCCCCTGACCTTCAAGCCCATGCACAGAGCTAAGTCCTGTGATTGGCTCTGTGCACATCCTTGCAAACTTTCGATGTGACATGCAGATATGTGTACCTGTATGTGCCCTGGGCTGTGTGCACAGGAGCCATGTAAGCCACCTCACACAGCTCCCAGAGAGAGGGGAGGGCCCCCCAAGCCATGAATGCAGGTAGGGAAAGCTGTGAGCCCCTCGTCCTGCTTGTTCCGCTAGCCAGGCCTCCAAACCCCTGCCAGCCCTGGCAGAAGCTGAAACTTTATACTCCAGTTCTTCTGTTTCAGGTCAGCCTCCCAGCAGCTGGAAGAGGGCAAGCAGGTGGGGTGGGAGATAGGAGTGTGCACAGAGGGGGGTTCTGTTGTACCTGGGAGCAGCCTGAAATACCAGCCTCTTGAGAAGGAGCCTCCTACCTCTTTCCCTTCCCCAGCCCCGCCCCTCTTGGAGACCAAGTCCAGAGAGCCCTGGATGGGGAAAGGAATAGATTGCCAGCAGGTCCCTTCCCCAACCTGCCCCACCCTAGGGACCTCTTGTCTCTCCCAGGTTTCCCACTGGCTTGTTCTCTGGCCAGTTAGGCTGGCCGCGACTGCAAACAAGGCCAGGAGGCAGGTGCACGGGGCGCTGAGCTGGTGGCTTTGAGTCCCCAGACACAAAGCCCTGAGCGATGCATGTTCCGTGGAAGGGAGGGCTCCTCAGGGAGCTTGGGAGGGGCTGGCTCCTAGGTCTGGGCAGACTTGCAGCTTCCACGGCCAGGCAGCCCAGTATCCAGCCCTCTCTTGATGGCAGCCTGGGGTGCGTGGAGCCCACAGTGAGAGTGGCATCCAGCCAGCAGCCAGAACAGCTTCTCCAGGGGGCAAGTGCTACCCTAGGCCAGGGTCTCGAGTTTGTCTCAGCTGTGGGCATGAGCTCCTCTGGGCCAATGCCAGTCTCCCCTGCTGGCCTCGAGCAAGGCGGGCAGCTCTCTGACTGAGAGGCTGTCTACTGTGTTGGGGTTCAGGGACCCCACGGGTGCGGGGACAGGAGCATCAGGTGCTGATGAACCCCGAGGGCTCGTCTCTGTTCGGAGGTTTCACGGACGGACCAACAAATGCTGACTGTGACCAGGGGACACCCTGCCTCTGAAGCCATCTGATTGGTGAGGAAGGGAGCTGACATTGGTCTGAGATGGCCACTGATGGAGGGCTGACACATTCCTGTGGCCACTAGCTGGTGACCTCTGTGGGTTTGGGATGGGAGGCCCTGTAAGTGTGCAGGCCTCAGAGCTGGGCTTGACACGAGCCCCCGTGTGCGTCATCTGCCCAGGGAGCCAAGGGAAAGGGGTTGTGTGGGGAAATTTTCCCCTTGTTGAAGCAGTCAAATGAAATCCTGGGGGTTTAGGAGTGTGGAGGCACTGAGTAAGGCACTGGGTTTGCCTCAAGGCAGCTGAACCTTTGCTCCAAGCCTTTCCAGTCACCCCCCCGCCACCC